CATTTTCTCATTTAAGCGAAGCCAAGATGGTCCATACCACCACATCAGATTATCTTTTAGTTGCAAAACGGTATTGCCTCGTGATGCACAATCAGCCGGATTATCCTTTGTTGCAATATACCTCCAGTCTTCAATATTTGTCATTGACTGAATTTGTGACACTCTGTTTGCCACGAACTGCTTCAATTTGCCTGGATCAGTTCTAATCCACCACAGTGTGGTTGTATTATCAGTCCACAAAATACAGCGTGATAGTTGACACTTAAATGTTCCTTTAACCTTGTGTAGAAGTTTTGCTGCTAGCAATGCTGCACATAATTCTAAACGTTGTATAGACGTTTCTTTCAACGGGGCTACCTTAGTTTTACTAATAAGCAAATTTACAAAACTGGTCGTACCGATGGTTGTTTTCGCATATACTGCAGCCGCATATGCTTGATTTGATGAATCACCAAATGCGTGTAATTCAATTGCACTTGTCGAAGTGGTGTTTATCCAACGTGGGATTCGAATGTGATGTAATTGTTGTAAGTCAATACGAAAGTTATGCCAAATGTTTGCCATCTCTATTGACAAGGGATCATCCCAATCGGATCCAGTACGCCAGAGTTGTTGCAGAAACATCTTTCCTCGAATGATAACCGGAGCCAAGAACCCAAGTGGATCAAATAACTTCGATATGTCAGACAACATTAGTCGTTTTGTGTAATGATGGTTGTCACAAGTTACATTGACGTTGTAACCAAAACTGTCGGATTTTGTATACCAAGTGTAGTAGTATAAGTATTGTAGATGTATGATAGTATATAAGTATTGTAGTCATAAGATAGAATTAAGCATACACATGTAAACTAAGGTAGAATTAAGAGAAAGAATAATAAAAGAGACAGTTGCGTGACGACCGTCGAACAAAGCAGATGTTGGTTGTTTCTACTAAAATTCAGAAGTGGGATCAAGTAAAAAAAAAAAAAATTATTTTTTTTAAAGCCCGTGTGTAATAAAATATATATATATAAAATATTTATATAAAACTGTGAAGAATGGATGGCATAGCTGACGTTTTATGTTTTGATGATCTAACGGTGGAGGAGCTAAAAAATTGGCTGACAAAATTGAAGTTGCAAGTAGGTGGAAACAAAACGCAGTTGATTGCGCGTTTAGCAAAAGTGCCACAGCATATTCGCAGTGAGTGTGCGCCGATGAGTATAAAAAAAACAGTGACGCCAGAATGTGATGAAGCAGTTGAGCAGTCTGTTGTACAAAATTGTGAAATTATGAGTAACGAGCGAAATCAAATTGTAAGGGAGGAAGTGAATAACAAAGAAACGGAGGAAGCAAAAATGCAAACAGAAACTACTATTAGAGACGAAGAAATAAAAAAAATGCAACTTATGCAAAAAGAAATTGAGTTGCTTAAGAAAGAGCGTGATCTGTTTGAAAAAGAGAATGAATTGACAAAGAAAATGACTCAATTACAATTAAACACTTCGAGTTTAAGCGAATGTGAACATTCAGTACAAAGAATAGAAGTACCGCTCATAATATTAAAAGAATTTTTACCGGAATGCGATGGTAACAATTTTAATGTTTGGGTTACGCAACTTGAAGCGTTAGAAAAAGCTTACGAATTAGAAGACAGTGTAGTTCGAACACTTATTATAACGAAAGCAAAAGGTAGAGTACAAAATTGGCTCCACTCTACACCAAATGTTCTTACACAAAGCAGTAAAATATTGATCGAACAAATGATTTCCGTATTTGGCTCAAAAGAGAGTATTGTTCAATTGCGTCGCAAATTTGAAACACGTTTGTGGTCCGATGATGAAAAATTTGTTGATTATTACAACGATAAAATTGTTTTATCATTACTGATAAATATGTCGGAAGAAGAGTTAGTTGAATACATTGTTGATGGAATACGTGATCCACAATTGCGTATGCTTGCAAAGATGCAGCAGTTCAAATCAAAAGAAAAATTGGTAGCAGCGTTTGGCGATGTTAATCAAAATACTGCTAGGACAGTGTCGACGAATGAAAGGCGAGTAAAGCAAGGCTTAAGATGTTTTAACTGCAGTAAGACTGGGCATGTTGCCGCTGAATGTCGTCAACCGAAACGTCCATTCGGAGCTTGCTATGGATGCGGTAGTTTGGAACACCGGGTTGCAGTCTGTCCCCGTAACAAATTCAACGCCAACGAACAACAAAATAATTATGTAAGGTATTTTCGTATGTCAATTATAGGCTTATATAAAGTATCCTTATTTTTAGAATGCCTAATAGACTCTGGCAGCCCAATTAGTTTTTTGAAAAAATGTTGTGTACCGGAAGCGGTAAAGTTAAATGAAATTTCGAATGTAGAATATTTTGGCCTTAATAAAAGTAAATTAAAAATAGTTGGAGAAATAAGTTGTTTGATATTTTTGAATAAAAAAAAAGTAATGATTAAATTTTATGTAGTTGCTGATGATTCTATGGGCAGCCAAGCAGTCTTAGGTAGAGATTTTTTAAGAAAAAGCAATGCAAAAATAATATGGAAAAATTGTTGTAAAGATCAGCCAAAAGAAAACTGTAGATTTAAATATCAAAAAAATATAAAGTTAAGTGATGACAGTAATTGTGACGATGCAAAAACTTTTGAAGAAAGTATTTTAGCAATCGATATAAATGATGAACATAAAGAAAAATGTAATATTGGTCCAGAAGTGTCATTTAAAACAAAAGTGTTGTTAGAAGAGATATTTACTAAATGTTATCTGACACCAGTGCGTCCAAAAGAACCCGAGATAAAGTGTGAAATGAAGATCAGTTTAGATAATGTTAAACCATTTAATTACTCCCCAAGAAGACTTGCATATACAGAAAAAGATGAGTTACAAAAAATGTTAGATGACTATACGTCCAAAGGTATTATTAAGGAAAGTGAGTCAGAATTTTCTTCACCAATTGTGTTAGTGAAGAAAAAGACAGGCGAATTAAGAATGTGTGTCGACTATCGTACATTAAACAAAGTAACATTAAAAGATAATTATCCAATGCCCTTGATAGATGATTTATTGGACAAGTTAGGTAATAAAAAATGGTTTACGAAATTGGATTTGAAAAATGGGTTTTTTCATGTGTATATGGATAAAGAAGCTGTTAAATACACAGCTTTTGTTACACCGTTAGGTAAATACGAATTTTTAAGAATGCCGTTTGGTTTGAAAAACGCGCCTTCGACGTTTCAAAGATTTGTAAACAAAATTTTTGCTGATATGATTAAAAACAATAAAGTGATAATATATCTTGACGACATTATGATTGCAACAGAAAGTGTAGAAGAACATTTAGCCACTTTAGAGGAAGTCTTTAAGAGACTAGTAAAAAATAATTTGGAGTTAAGACTAGACAAATGTGAATTTTTATACAGAAGCGTTAAATATTTAGGGTATAGGATAACCGGTGAAGGCATACAAGCAGATGACGAAGGGTTGGTGGCTGTTAAAAATTTTCCGTTGCCAAAAAATGCTCACGAGCTACAAAGTTTTCTGGGGTTATGTTCTTATTTTCGTAGATTTATAAAAAATTTTTCAATGATAGCCAAACCTTTGTATGATCTTACCAGAAAAGAAAAACGGTTTAGTATGGGTAGCGAGGAGTTAGCATCATTTGAAACACTGAAAGGAAAATTAGTAGAATCACCGATCCTTGCCTTATTTGATCCGAATGATAAGACAGAGTTACATACTGACGCGAGTAGTATTGGGTTTGGAGCTGTATTAATGCAGAAAAAAAAAGATGACAAATGGCATCCAGTATTCTTTTTCTCCAAGAGAACTACAGATACGGAGTCAAAATACCATAGCTTTGAGCTAGAAACACTAGCCATAATTTATGCGTTAGAAAGATTTCGAGTGTACTTAACGGGACGAAAGTTCAAGATAGTTACAGATTGCAATTCGTTAACACTCACACTTCAAAAAAAAGAGTTGAATCCAAGAATAGCCAGATGGGCATTGGAATTACAGAATTATGACTATGAGGTACAACATAGGTCAGGAAAGAACATGCAACACGTAGATGCGCTAAGTAGAAGCACAAATATATTAGTAGTAGAGGGAAATTCGTTCGAACAGGATTTAGTAGTATGTCAGAACAGGGACAGTAAGTTAAAAGCTCTTAAGGTGCAGTTGGAAAAGGCAGAAAGTAAAACATATGAAATGCGTAATGGTATAGTTTATAGAAAAAATAATAACAACAACCTATTATTCTGTGTCCCTGAAATTATGGAATCAAACGTATTACACAAATATCATGATGAAATGGGTCATGTAGGGGTTGACAAAACTGTAGAAATAATTTCCAAAACTTATTGGTTTCCAAACATGAAGAAAAAAGTAGACGTTCATATAAAAAATTGTTTAAAGTGTATTGCTTTTTCAGATAAAAGTGGTAGACATGAAGGTTTTTTACACAATATTCCGAAAGGAATAAGTCCTTTTGACGTTGTTCATATCGATCATTTTGGACCGATTGAAGGAAAGAAGTGTTCTAT